GTAGAGAGTATAATCATACAGACCTTAATGTGAAGCACTCCATCAAACTGGAAACATTTCATCTCAATATCAGCTCGAATCTTCAGAGGTTGTGGGGTCATTCTCCTCCTAATATTCTTCACCAGAGCATCTTTGATATCCTCAGACACAGCAGGAACCACCTTAGTCACCTATGCAGCGAGAGATGACCTCAATCATTGGCATAAACAATACTGCAATTGTGTAAAACATTACAAAGGGAAAAGCTTACCTCTTGACCATCTGGGCCAATTTCTTTGACTTCACGAGTGAGAGAATTCAACACGGAATCAGGATCAGACACAATGATTTTGAATGCCTGCACATAAAAAATTTAAGTACACAACAGAAACCGAGGGTGAAAAGACTTCAGGAAGGTTGTATATTCTCACCTCAAAAGCATGCCCATATTTTCTGTATAGGGGCCAGCCAATGGTGATGTATAATTCCTGGCACAGGTAACAGACATTTAGAAACAACTTAAATAGACATGATAATCTACTCAACATAAACCACCATCCTTGTACACTTATTTTACACCATTCTATCAACACTTGAAGGATGAAACAAAAACTATTCTGAAAATCAACAAACGAATTAACAATTAGATCAATAGGCTTGGTCTCATTGAACTGCATAAACCCTAAATAAGAACCCTGCTAAATGCCTCAATTACGCGGCTAAACAAAATGCTGCTTACCTCCAAATCGATGCCCATAGTCTCGGCAACATGGCGCATGATGGAGTGAACCAGCTTGCTCTTATTGTACCTCTCCTCACAAGCCTGGATATCCTCTTCACTAACCCTCCTCTTGCTCAAATCGATGTATCCCTTCTCCTTGTCGACACGAAGGACCATAACTGGCTCGATGCGGCCGACCTTGATCAGACTGCTGACGCTGCGAATTCGTCTGCGGGAGAGCTCCGAGAACAAGATCATACCTTCGATGTTGTTGTATTCGAGGAGAGAAACGTAAGCTCCCATGTCGGCGATGTTCTTGACTTGAATCATCACCGCCATGTCCACCTCGGGGTACTTCGCCTCATACATCCGGCACTCCAAATTAGGTGTGTGAGTCGCCATGGCTGGTTTTGGCTTCTGGTGTGAGCTATCTTGCTTTTTCTGCGTTTGGGTGTTTCTGAGGGTTGGCGTCGGAGAAGAGAGGCTTAGTCTTGGGATTTTAGATTTTAGGACGAAAGTTTTGTTAAACTCCCAATTTAGTCCCTCGACTATTACATAATCCTTTAGTTTGATCTCTAAATTAAAAAAATTTTTAATTTGATCTCAAAATTTTTAAACTTGACTCCAATTTAATCCTTTCATTCAAAAATAGCTTACCTATATTTTATTACTAATGTGACGTATAATAGATGCGGAAGTAATTTTTTTAAAAATAACTTAATATAAAATTAAAATTAAAAATTTTAAAAATCAAAAAATATATTTTTTTAAATTTAAGAACCAATTCAAAAACCTATATAATAAAAATTGGAAACTGAAATCGTAGTGAAAAAAAAAAAAGAGTCGTCAACAGCAGGATTCGAACCTGCGCAGGCAGAGCCCAACAGATTTCGAGTCTGTCTCCTTAACCACTCGGACATGTTGACAACGCCAAGGAGTTGAGGACACATAAAATTAATATTACATAAATATTAGGAATATATATTAGAATAAAAAAGCGCCCACCGTGGGGCTCGAACCCACGACCACAAGGTTAAGAGCCTTGCGCTCTACCGACTGAGCTAGACGGGCTTTGATACCTACAGATATTTCCCATCACTTTTTATGCGAACATAATAATTTTGCCGCTCTGCATACCCTGATAGATCGTTAGCAGTTAAACTTAACGCGCTAGGTTGGGGTCTGATGACATGATCTATCAATATTGTAGCATACTGTAATCATTCGAGTGCAGAACTGAACTTAGAACCATACATCATCAACATCTGGAAGAAAGGAACTCCAATAAGGTTCAAAAGTTCAATATCGAGAGAGTAAACTAACATTTGAGCAGCTACCTTGCCACTGGCTATGAACAACAGAATTTACAGCTCTCGTAAAGCATCAAAACATTCGCAAGAGAAGCCTAAAGAAACCACTAAAATGTTGTAACACTGCTCACATCCCCCATCCAAGTATTGGTTAGAACATCTGATGAAGCAGAGAAACTCTTGTGGCAAAAATTGTCGGCATTAGCATTGAAATTACTCTGGAATGCAATTCTGCTAACTTGATGAGCTAGTTGTGGCTGAAAATTACACCAGATGGAGGTAACAACAACCAAAATGTATGTAAGAATACCTTCTCTCTCTCTTGAAAATCAAATTACAATTCAACTCTTTGGGATGTTGTATCATCATTTCGCAGCGAAAGTACTAACTTACTGGTTGCAGGCTTCTGCTCTGGCCGCTCCAGCTTGACATTACATAGTTCATTATAGTCACGCTCCATGTGAGGAGCAACAATTCTTTCCTGGAAATGCAATGGAATTTTTACAGGTGAAAATCAGATTTTTGTTTTTCCACAAGAAAACAAAGTGGGAATCAGTTAAACCATCATTTTTCTTACAAAATTTAAATTGGAAGATGATTGTACCTTGAAGACTTCAAATGGGCAGAAATCTGCACCATGACAACCCTATTCACACAAAATGTACCGTTAAAACCAGATAAATGTGGGAAGATTTGTAATAAGCACAACTGAGAAAAGGCATTGACGACTTCTATGAATAGTCCTAGAACTGGCAAACACTTGCAAACAAAGAGAAAAGGCATGAAAGAAAATAGTAGAAACAAGAAAATGTTATATTCACTGAAACGTTCCAACACAGTCATCTTGCCATCATGAAGATTTTTGCACTATTGGTTATACTGAGATACTTCCATATTTTTAACAGCCATAACTAGAAAAATGATGACTCTTTACTTTTAATGGAAAGAACAAACTAGTGTATGAAAGAAAGGAAAAAAAAATGCAATCAAGAAGAGCATACTGGCATTGGAATGGGGTGCTCATTGTGTAGCACTTGCACAAAGTACTTGCTAGAGGAGTTAGAAGGACAACTGTATAAAACCAGCAAGATATTCCCTGCAAAAGGTGCCACAGTGCTCCCCCTCCAATTTCTTTTCTGAGGAGGCTTTGGAGGCAGTTCCAGAGGTTCCTCCTTTTGTATTCGTTCAAATTCTGCAACACAAAATGCATTCAGAAACCAGATGTAAACTGTGTACGTAATTATGCTTTATAAGTAATCACAAAAAAGAAAAAAAACCAAAGATGTATGATAAATGCACTCACCAGATCCTTCAAGGAAAAGCCCAAGCAAGCATGAAAAAGGAACCATAGTTTCCGCGTGTGCAAACCGAAGCCTTGCCTTTTCATAATTGCCAGGGGCTTGGTTTTCTAAAAAAACAAAAGGAAACCTGGCATTAGAGCTAGTCACTGCAAGACATCCATTTTGAGGTTGAAGTTCAAGATTCTTAAGAAATTACAGTAAATATAGATATGGATCAAGATTCAAGCATGCTAAAGATATTGGCATATGGCAAGAATACACATGACATGGTTTGATGGTAGCAAATAAGAATATTGCTGCCACTGTCAATCTGGTTCCTGATGAAAAGAGACAATAGCATCACCCAAACAAGACCACCATGAAAGGCAATTCAACAGCAACCATTTTACAGGGTTTTTCACTGCCAAGAGTGGTAGAAAAAAGACTACATAATCAGAATTTTATAAACCATGGTACCTTCTTTAGCCTTAATAGCTTGTTCCATGGATTGGAAAACATCCACAAGCAATGGAACTCCCATTTGATAGTTTAGAGCATTACCATACCCCTTCAATATGAAGAACTCCAAATCATCCGTCCACTCCAGCAAAGCAACCTAAATTTACACATGCCTTTTACCAGTTAAAACCCATATAGCACATGGAAGACACAACAATACATGAGCACACATAACCATATTAGCACAACAGATTTAAAAAGTAAAAAGGACTGGATTATAAAAATAATACTCTTTCATCTATATTTACATGCATGGGATCAGTTGTACTGTCATACATAGACTAAACTAAAAGTGTCAAACTCGGGATAATTATATAGACAAAATCCTAAGATGTATATACAATAACATGAAAAAATGAGGCATGAAGAATACCTCTGATGGGCTGAAGAGACCACAAGCTTGATCAGTTGTGTCCAACAGAGAAGCCTCCTGCCATATTGGAACATAATTATTAGAGTACATATATTGATTGAAGATGGCCATCAAATTATGCTAGCAGAAGAAAATCCACCTGTTTACACAGAAACCAGAGAGAAGATATATCTTGACTTGTGAAATTAAGATCATAATGCCTTTGTAATGTAGAGGCAATGTCATCAAAGATTGGTTCTTTCAGCTTGTCAACAGCAGGTTCTTGGTTTTTCCTAAAGTCCTGCGTTTTAAAATAAGGATATGTAGAAAAAATAATCATATTCAAACAACAGTCAATTCACATGTTTGCATGTGATAACAAGAGAAACAACCATTTCTTTTTTTTTTTTTTTGAGAATGAGAGAAACATCCCTGTACCTTGTAGTTTTGACAACGATCAAAAAATCTCAGCATTGTATCACTTGCACGACTCTCACTTATAACAGCAAAAGCTCGATGATGTCCAGGTCCTAGACTTCCTCTGTCACTAAAAAGCCCCATACCAAATGCAACAGCACTAGCAGATGCTCGAGGAACCTACTCATTAAAGAAGAAAGAAATAGACACCAGTCCTAACTGAAACAAGAAACAAGAAACAATGCACTATATCTTTGTGGCAGGAGTAATATAATCAGAATAATAATCAGTTAGGCAATTTGGCATCACCTAGCTGGAGAAAAAAAAAAAAAAAGAGCCGGAAAAATAGGGGACAATCCTCACCTGAGTAGCCTTTATAGTATACACCTCAGGGAGGTATTCCTCATTCAATAAATTAGGAAATCTTTCTCTAATTCTAATTCCAAGATCATACAATTCATCTTCTCCTTTACTAATTAATTCTCCACCCTTCAATTTTCCTTTCCAAGGAGATTCCCACTGCAGTAACCAGGCAGGGACTTTCTTCAAAGGCAGATTGTGTTCTTTGGCATCTCTTAGAAGTACTTGTATACGATCAGCTAACCTGTCCAATTCCCTCATTCGCTTCTTTGTAGGAGAACGAGTTCCATGCCTTGCCTAAAAAATTCAAGATTAACAATTTAACATCCTTTACCTTTTTGGTTTTCTACAACCCAAAAAAATTCAGCATATAAACTAAATTCTAAGTTCTACATAATCAAAGCATACATCCCTCATCATTGATTGCGGCTTTAGAAGGGTGAAGATGAATTTAAACAACAATTGACACAGAGCTGAAAGCAAAATTACCACAAGATTTAAGTGGATAGGAACACATCCATCAGGAATATCAGTAGGTACAAAGGAATTGTCAGCAACATCTTTCACCACACCATATCTGCACATAAAATTTATGGATAAATGCACATGCCGAGTTTCTCTAGTAATATTCAAACCTAAGAAAATTTTCAATAAAATCCCAAAAATCGTCAGAATTGATAGAAACTGTTCGTATCAAAATCAATTTTCTCGGCAACCAAACAGGAAATAAACGAACCATTGGCTCTCATGCCAGTAATGCCAGATACAGAAATCAATACATAACAGATCGAAGCAAATTCGCAAAACTAAATGTTCTTAGAGATGTGAAAAAACCACCTTGAAACGGTTGAAAGGTGTTGCCGAACGTCAAAAGCTTGATCCGCTTTCGAATGGAAGAATAAAGCTAAAAAGAGTATCAGAAGAACCGCCATCGCCATCTTCATCAGCTTCGGCGTAGAGCAACGGAATCGTTTCGGGAAATTACGGTGCGGGTAGGTACCAAGCTTCGACTGCCGCCACGTCCGGAAGGATAAGTGTGGATGATCCGGTGGTTTGCGGTATTGGGGGAGTAATATGCTTCGATGATTTATCAACGTTGATCTTTGATTCCATGAGAAAGTCAAACTGAGGTTGATCTATCAGATTGGCGTTGAGAATTGAGAGAGCTTATAATCTTATGGGTATGATAGCGTGCAAGTGACGAGATTTCCCCAATGAAAAGGTGGCACGTGGGTCACTTTTAGTTTGCAACTCTGGGCCTTCGAGAGTTTGTAATTTGTAATTTTGTATGACCGGTACCTGGACCTTTCTCCTTTGGGCCCATCCGTTCATCTGTGAAATAGATTAATTTGGGCCTCCTTTCTAAACGAAGCGCGATACTATGCAGTAATTATAATTTTTTTTTTTTAATTTTAAAAATATATAAAATATTTATTAAACTTAATAAAAATGAATATAAATTAATTCCTTTGATGATATACATAAATTAATTAATATTATTCATTTATATTTTTAAATAAGATAATGCGTGTAAAAAGTCCAGGTAAATTCATTTTTTTCCTCTTTTGGAAGGAAGGGAGGAATAAGTTGAATCGGATGTTTAATTTTTTTTTTTTGGTACATAAATTTGTATTTGTTTTGAAACACGTTTAAATTTGTGTATGTATAATATTGTAGGAGGGAAATGCTACGAGAAAAATGTTTTTTTATTTTATTTTTTATAATAGTTTATTTAATATAACATATAGAATCACTTATAAATGAGTGAATTCCGAAAAAATATACAATGCATTTTAGATGCATTTTTATTTCTAAGTACTGTTTAGGCTGAATACCTAAAAAAGGAGCTTGTTAAAATTGGAAAATCCTACATCAATAAGGTTTTATTTGATTACACTTCTTGATACTTTACTTTTTAATTTTTGTGTCTTTTTTATTGTTTTGAAAACATGTAAAATATTAATTAAAATAAATATTAAATATATTATATATTTTTTTAATATTTTATATATTTTTAAGATATTAAAGGATAAAAAAATTTACAACTGCAGTTACAAATTAATATTGTCAAACTAATCCTAAATTAGAGAAGAATTACGCCATTTTTTAAGATAAATGCGCTTAGCCTCCCAAACCGTAAGAGTATTCACTTAACTCCACGTTTGAAAAGGGTACATATCACAGTCATGGGGAAGGAAAGGAGCGAGCAGGCCTGTCTCTCTCTTGTGGATCGTAAGGGGCCCCCCGAGATCAAGCGAGAGACCACTTTGTGGCCCGAGGAGATTCGAATTCATTGTCGTGTTGAAAATGGATCCATTTCAGTGTGAAGGAGAAACGAAGGATAACCGTGCGCCGTGCCCTCACCACAATAGATATTCGGTTGACTAAGACAACTTTTGGGTAGAAACCAAACAGTTCATAGACAATATTTCATCATCATACAAATTAGACAAGTAGAAATTCATATACCCTGCGTTTTATGCTGTCATATAAAGGCCTAAAATGCCAGGAGACTCGACAGGGACCATCACAAGTCAGAATAACAAGAAATCACAGTTAACATCAAACTATATTCTTAACCACATATCAATCTAGCAGAATCCAACAACAAAAATTTAGCTGAATTTGTATCTACTAACTTTAAAAATCTTGATTTGGGGTCTGGGGTAGGGGCTTAATCCTTGCAAAGCTAAGCAATTAACCCTGGATGACAAAAAATCTAGCAGAATCCAAACATAGGAAATGATTGTAAATATTATTCTTATACTCTAAAACATGAATAAAGAAACTCGGAGATCCATGAATCTTTAACTGCTTTAGAACTCATATCCATGGTCACAGTTTCCAAACTAATTAATGCACCCAAAACCTCTAAACTAAGGACGTTGTAGAACAACTTCCGAGATGAAACCATGCAAGCAAATGCATCATGCAACTGCTTCCTCTCCCTCATGAAGTAGCATCTGATCGAAGTGCCAGACTCCTGAGAATCAACGAAAATAATACATTTAGAGAACATGAAAATTCCAGGGCTTAAGAATGTAAGTGAGTTCCAAGGACTTGGATTCCTACCATGTCCTTTGCCCACTCTTCTCAACTGAGCAACATATTCTGATATCTTGTTGATGGCTTCTACCTACACAGCAGAGAATAAAAAAAGGGCCATAATTGTAAGACATAGATTATTGCATCAATTCTGGTGTACATGCTGGCAATTATAAGCAAGTTCCTAGAAGCATAGGACATCAACAACATCGTTCTTTACCTGCTCACTTAAGAATTCGCTCTCAACAAAATCTGTCAAATGGACATCATTGCATCGCGAAGCAACCTGTTTTTAGTCAAAATCATGAGCATTGTCCACAGAAAGCAAATACCTACCAAAGAATCTCAGTTGTGTCAGGTGGAAGGGAGGGGCCTATAAGAATGAAAAGGTAGATCTATCTTACACTGTGCAAGTTCAGGAGCTTCTCGTTAGTTAGTTTCTCCAATGATAAAGCAAGCTCCATTGCTGCACCAAGAAATTAGATCAAGTTAATGCCAACTATAAACACAATAGCATTTTAAGCACATATGCACAGAATAAAATATTGCATGTCTTGCTTAGCTAATTTTCAAATTCAAGGCTGGTTTCATAATTTTAATATAAAAAATATAACATTGCAATAACGAATAGACAATGTAACATGAAGTTAAATCTTCTTAATTCTAGAGACAGATTATATAACCAACAGAGATACATAATTCAAAGCAAATGAGATGAGACACAGAAGGGAGTAAAGTAATAGATGTAAGGCATTTTATAATAGAATTAGAAACTACAGCTTTGACTGTTAGATCATAACCACTCATTCATGAAGCTTCCTTTTGCAAAGCACAAACTACAAACCAATAGTTTTCTTTCACATGAGGCACAGCTGCTTTAGCAACATGCACTTACAAGTTACAACATTTAACACAAAAAGAAGCACGTTTCATGTGTTAATGGAAAAAAAACAAAAATTTATGCAATTAGTAACTAAATAAGAACCAAATTCATACAAACACAATGCAAAGAGAAATGGTCAAAACCCAATAACTGAAATTAACTTCCAAAATTACCACTTTAAACTCACCATATAATGCATCTCCTTTGTCAGTATGATCAAACTCAGAGAGAGGCATCACAATAGACTGCAGCTTCACCTTTCCCCCTCGTTTGTTCTGGAAGTTAAAGCAAACAATATCCACAAGACAATTGAATTTCAAAGTTCACAAATAAAAATGGTCATAAACTATAACATCATAAATAAAAGACCTGGTATTCCATCAATTTCTCAGCATGCTCTCTCTCTTCTAAACTTGATTCCTTGAAAAACCTATTTAAGAAAGCCACAAGCAACCTTTTAACATAAAAGAAAGGTAGAAAGTACGGATAAGTTGGAGATGTTCAGAAGAGCAATTACTTTGCAAGACCCTTGAGAGCAACATTGTCTCTGTCGAAATAGCCAAACATGGCATGGTACACGTACGAGACATTATACTCCACACTGTCATCCCAAAAGAATTACAAATATCATCATCAGAAAGAAGCATATACAAACATGAACAAGAACTCCCACACAATTCAACAAGAACAGAGTTTTCTAACATAAGTTTAACCTGACTCCCGAGACTCCAATTACTTTAACAGAAGACATCCATTTAAGACTCAAAAGGGATTTCAACATCATACAACTTCAAGTCTGATCACATGAAAGATAATCATAGTTGTAGTCGAATTAAAATTGCAATCAAAGATCCTCAAGAAATTAAACGATCAGAGAAAAACAGTAAACTTTGCTTACACAATCAAAGCATATAAATCATACTAAAGATGAAGCCAAATAACCCATCAAGAACGCATCTTTACATTTTCTACCGTCCGAAATATCTTGAAGAGAATGCAACGGACTTAAATTATGCATAAAAATGGGGGAAAACTCACTTGATTTGCTCATTGATCGCGGCCTCACAATCATCCGTAAACTTCTGTCGAGCAAGAGACACTTGAGGCGTAGTAGGAACCAGATTGAGCTCCTTCTTGACCTCCTCAAAGGGCTCAAAAACAACACCGGTAAGCGGCCGGTTGTTAGACCCTTTGGACGCACAGACGACAATCCCAGGACCAATTTTCGGGCTCGAAACCCTAACAGCCGCAGAATTTTGCGACACCAGAGAAGAACTGGAGAAAAGCAAAGGACACAGGTGCTCCCCGTGAGGGTTCAGCAAAGAGAACGCCGGAGCAGCTTTGAGTAACATCGCTTCTGAACGAAGAGCGAACCGCTACGGAGACGAGAAGGACTATAGACTATAGAGAGAAAAAAAGGATTTAAAATGCTAAAGAAAATGGAGGATAGTGGGGAGAACTGTGTGGCACTATGGTCAAGATAGGAAGATAGGTATGCGGGCGGCCGGACGGGGATGGCAGCGGCTTTATGGGCTTGTGCAAATCCTGGAGATCAGGTGGGCCATTGGATGAATTACAGGTGAACAGTGGTGAAATGGGGGTGAATGTCGGCGCGTGCCAGGCTCGTAGTTGTATCTGGAATTCTGCAGGAATGTCCGACAAACTCTTCTGGTCCTTTCTGCGGCATTTGGAAAATTGTGAATTTGTGATCCAAAAAATGAACTTCCTTTTTTTTTTTTCTTTTCTTTTTTTCAATATTATTGTCCTCCACCCCTTTTTCAGATTTCCAATTAACTGAAAAAAGGGGAATCTGCTGTGTCATCCCCCTATGGCCTCCTCTATTTTCTTTTCTTTTCTTTTTTTCTAACTTCTTACAATTTGGAAATGAGTGAGTTTTGAAATTCTGGCTAATTTATCCAAATATTTTAAAATTTCAGAGCAAATTATTTAGATTCGAAAGTTTGGTCTTTATAATTCTTTTTTTAGCTGCACACTAACATATACTCTTATTATTTTTACTAACTTATTATATTCAAATATTACATTAAATTTTAACTAACTTAAAATTAAATAATCTCAAATTTTTTAAAAACTTAAATTTAATATTTTATCTAAAAAAATCAATTTTTTTTTCTATTTAGGCCAATGAATCATTCGCACACACTTTCAAATGTATTAGTTAGAGTTTCATGTATTTGAGAGTTGAAATTACATTAAATTATAAAGTAAAAATAATTAGATAATTTACTTTTTATTTAATAATTTAAATTATAATACATGATATTTTCCATGTTGCTCAGAGCAGCATATGTGTGCACATGGTACTGAACTTTACATATAACTCTTTTAGCCGTAAAATTTTTAACTAGTTGATTTGAGATATATTGGCATATGTTAATGATTTGCGTGGAAATGTACATTATTTTAGTAGTTTTACTTTCACTCTCATCTCTAATTAGATAATTTCAGCAAGATATTTGAACAGTTTTCCATTATGATGTCGAAAAAAAAAAAACGTAAATGAAACAACCATAGAAATGTTAAAAATACGGTTAATTTCATCTAATGATAAACAAATTTGTTTAAGGGATCTATTGGGTTGTTCGAGACCAACTTTACTGGAAATTATAGTTAGAGAAAAAAAAAAATGAACTACTTACTACTCTATGTTGGTGATTAATTGAAAAAACCAAATCTATAGAGGGTAATTAATGTATGATTAAGGAAGGTAAACTTTGTAGTGGATGGAAAGTATTAAGGACAAAGTGTCAGTTTTTATTATATAATCAATTCATAATGATGGATTTAAGAAAGTAGATACTTTCTGGAACATTGAAATGGGAAAGAAAAGAAATGAAAAGGACCCTGAGAAAAAGCTTCACTTTTCCGACAGCATGCTTGTATTGGGTCCTTGCAAAGTTGCAAGTTGCAAACTTGTATATAGCCCAAATACAGTTTCTCCCAACAGATCTGAAAGGCCACTAATATATTCAACGGATCATGTCTGGCTATATCCTACAGTACCAACTCTGGGGCTCAATAACTAGCCCACTAACCTCTTACATTTCCGCTGTGCTAAGGTTTCACATACAGCCCAATCCAACCAAGATGGTTGGGGTTTATTTTCTTTGAAAACAAAAACTGAAAAAACATACATGCAGGCTGTGGGGTTCGAACCCACGCGCACTTATGTGCAGAAGATCTTAAGTCTTCCCCCTTAACCTCTCGGGCAAACCTGCTGGCTGGGTTGGGAGTTACCATTATATATAAAACTAATAGTATTGCAACACAATATTTATGCTAATTAAGGAAATATACTATCAAATCAAGAATGACCAAAAGATAAAAAAGGGGGGGGGGTGGATTTTGAGTCCTTCTACCTCAATATTAAATGGTAATCATAACAAAAAGATCATATATATATATATATATATATCTATATATACAGAATACACACAAATAGAAAGATTCATGGACAAATAATTTATCTAAGCAAGAAAAGAAATTATCAAAAAGGGGGGGGGGTGGATTTTGAGTCCTTCTACCTCAATATTAAATGGTAATCATAACAAAGGGATCATATATATATATACATACAGAATAATGTAAGGTAGATCGTTTTCTTAAATATTTTTTGAGAATCTATTTAAAAATTTGTTTTTTTAATTAATATTTTTTAAAATAAACTATTCGATTGAAAATTTTATTTATATAAATCATGTATATTAATTTTTATATTAATTTAATACTTATAACTTTTTGATCAAAATAACTTTATTTATTTATATATTTAACAATGTAAAATTTCTTATAGTTAAAAAAGTAATTAGACCTATTAGATTAATATAAAAAATGCACATGCATAAACTATATGAATAAGACTTTTAATATACCAATTACTTTTTAAAAATATAAATAAAAAAATAAATTTTTAGACATTTCTCCTAAAAGAATTTAAGAAAACTACGTATAAAATATATATTTTTTCATATATATATAATTATTATTTGTGAGTTTAACAATATAAATATAATACTATGATTAATGTCGTCCTTGTATTTTTTTTACCATCAATTTAAAATCTCAACTTTAAATATTTATGCTAATATAATTGGATCATGACTAATTATGTACGTTCTCGCTAGTATTGAACAACTGCAATATTTTATAATTAGATGTTATTCAGGGAAATTGAGGAGGTGGAGAAGAGATGGACAAGCTTTGCGCAAAACCCCACCAAGCAGTGAGATCGTCAATGTTAAAATTAAAAAAAAAAACAATCAAACTTTCATTAATTACGACCATATGTATCATGATATATAGAAAACTATGCATCTCTCGAAAATGAATCTCCCTCTCCACGATGCTCATTTAATGCACATGCATTGGACCTCTCATGTAACATGGTGAAGATGTCTGTTCTTTCCTCCTTAAAATTTTTTAAAAACCTTTTGACAGAATCCCAAACATCAAGGTTCTTATCCTTGTTTACTTGGTGCTTAGGTTTTTGTTCAAACATTTTTTTTTTATATTATCACTATGCAGCCACTCTCTTGCAAGATTCTTCTACATTTCTCTATTCTTTATGCCCCTTTGGTTAAATAATAACAAAAAAAATGTAATTTGACTTTTTTAACTTTTAAAATAAAACATTTAGTGAAAATTTAACATAGTAAGTTAATTTCAATTAAATTTTTTTTTATGTATATAATTCTAGTTTAAGAGCTTTACTTCAACCAAAAAAATTAAAAAAACCTTCGATTGGCATTCATTTGTCATGTTAAAATTTCACATAAATAGGTAATATGGATGTGGGTGGGCGAGTGTTGTGAGCTTGGAAGAAATGATGTGTGTTTTGTTTTCTCTTTCGCTGTGTGTTTGTTTGGTAGATGCCCTTTTTTAGATTTTTTTTTTAGATTTGTTTAGGATAAGAACACCCATTGTACTTTATATTAATAAATTTTTTATTTTAAAAATTAAAAAGTCAAATTAAATATACTGTTGTTGAATGAAAAAAAATACCTCTTCAAATCTTTTGGATTATATGAAAGTTCGTTGTGAAGTACTATACATAGATTTGAATACATAGAAATTAATTTTTTATTATATATGTGACATTATGAAATTAGTTAGCATATGTCTTAAATATTAAATATGATAACATTAATATGATAAATTTGGAAATTAAAAAGTCTATCTAGCTAGCTAGCTACTAGCTACTTGGTATAGACTAATGTTGGTTACTTTAACTTTCAAATGGACTTCTAAAATGTCGAAGCTGGGCTTTTGATAAACATGCTTGGTCTAGTTTTAGTATGTAGCACTCCATGATCTGCAAGTAAGACAAAACACGGGGAAAAGAGAGCTGTGTTCTGCTTTGGAAGACAGGAAAGGAAGTTTG